CGCTCGGGGCGGACAGTGGGCAAATAAAACCAAATTTTTTGATGCTAAAACACTTTGCGAAGGGCCTTTTGCTGTTGATAAGAGAACCGAGAGAGAGAGATAGAGAGAGACCCCCAGAGGAGAATGGAGAATCGAGACTCTGGAGAGAGAGAGAGAGAAAACCCATACAACAGGAATCATTGTGGCGGGATATGGCTATATATATGGGAAGTGGAAGTACTCTGTGTAGGAGTGGGACTCCGACTGGGCCGGGGACTGGGACTGCGAGTGGGAGTGGGAGTCGCCGCTGTGTTTGTTATAGTTTCAGCTGCTAAACACCTTTCCATTCCACTGATAATACATACATACATACATATGTGTATGTGCATGTGTGTGTGTGTGTGTAATTTGTTTAAACAAATTAAGTCGACTTTACTTTAGTGTTTTTTTTTTACCAGCTGCCCCGCGCCGAAGCGCTGCTGCTGACGTCGCTTTGTCACTGTCAAAAAAACCGAAAAATATATAAAAAATACATACTTATTGCTTATTTGTATGGGTAATGGACACACACACTCACACACACATATGCAAACGCCCCCGCAGACACTGTTTGTTGTTATCTGTCGTTCGTGCAACAAAATATATATAACGACAGAGAAACGTACAGAATTTTCGAATTTGTTTAACCTTTTTTTTTTTGTTTTTTAAATGAGTTGGCCAGCAAAAAATAACACCAGTCACAGGCACCATTTTTCGAATATTTACACAGCATTTCTGACGGCCTTTTGTTGTATTTTTATTTAACCCAAAAGACAACAAAGTGGAGCACTTGGCGTCGTTTTATAATTGGTCCCTCCCCGCACCCGCTCCTTCCACTTGGAGATCGATTCTTTGCTGCTACTTTTGCCAATTGCTGTTGTGATTGAAGGTTGAAAGGTGTTTATCCTCAAGATACCTGTACAAATGTACTTTTTCCAATTACTAGATTACTTTCTATCTGCATCTCTATCTTTTCTGAAGTGCCTCAACAGTCGTGTGTTTAAAGAGCCCGCGCTTCTCTTCAACGGATTCGAATTGATCCTTGAGCATAGCTTGAGATACGATTCCTCTGCTTTCGGTCGCATTTCTCCCTCCTACTTCGATAGTTGGTCCAGTTTTTCCCTGTGGCCGTGACGCCATTTTTCACTTGGGCTTCCTTGCGACAGCAGCACCTAAAAACAGCCGACGAGGACGAAAGGACGACCATGTGGCGCTCTCTGCCTGGTTTTTATGGGGATATACACACTAGAATCCACCTACCCCAACCACCCAACCACTTCTATGGCCCCCCACGTAACCTTTTGACCATAAAACCGAATCCTTCGACTCTGTCTTGCTGCCAGAATGGACTGTGTGTGTGTGTGTGTGTGTGTGCCACGGATGGGGGCATAAATTAGCACAATCAACGTATTGTTTTCTGTTTGCCACGCCTCCAACTACACACCCTCCCTCCTCTGGAATCCGCGGGGCAGTCAATAACATGAAAATGTTATAAATAACAAAAATACACACAAGGAGCCAAGCAGCCAAGGAGCAGGGAGTGTCGTCTCTGGTGGGGATTCATATTTTCTTGTCGCTGATAATTTGCGCAAAACTTCTATTAATATGTTAATTCTTAATTGTCCTACTTTGAGGGCTGCTGGTCCTTGGCCAGGACCTAGTGCCAGTGCCAGTGCCAGTGCAGTGAATGGCCACCCGCCCCGCTCCGCCCCGCCCCACCCTGCACCAAGAAATGGTAGCAGCTCGTAAATATTTCGCTTAAGCCGAGACGCGGCTAACAAATCGACGGCACTTCAATTTATATCCACCCAAAAGGGGATCTGGGATGTGTGGGATATCTGAGAGGGTGGATGGATTAATTACGCATATCCTGAAATGAGGACAGGAAGGAGTATGCGTATGACATCACACAGCATCAATAAATACAATATATTGTATCCTTATGGGCCGGGCACCAGGCCCCCGGCACCAGGGGGCACCAGCTATGCCACTCTGATGGAAATATATTTGATGCGTCTCTCAATTCAATCTGGTCAAAGGTTTCGCTTCGGGAAGAGAATAGCGAATAGCGAATAGCGAATAGCGAAAAGGGTTTTTGCTCAACGCCAAAAGATAATGCAATTTATGACTTTTGGCCACGGCTTAGAGAACACTCGCACATGTACGTGGCAACCCTGGTGCTGTTGACACTTGTGTCAGGCGGACTGTCAGCACCGCTGTCTGACATTTGACAGCTCCACAAATAGCACCGCCACCACCACCACCCTTTCACCTTTTCTGGCCAGCAGAGGCAGCTGCTGTATCGGTCTACCCTCTTCAGCTGGCGGCGCAATATTGCATGCTGCTGCTGTTGCGGCTGTCAATAAGTATTTTTCCGTCTTTGTTCTTTCATGGACTCCTCATGGACTCCCCTTAACCCCTACTTGCAGGCTAATCTCTGGACAAACATCTAATCTAATCGCTTAGGCAAATAGCAGGCAACGCCCCTGCCTCTATGTCACTGCCCCTGTCTCTGGCCACGCCTACGTGCAGCAGCAGCAGCCGCACCAGCAGGTAAAGGCCAGGTAGCAGAAGCAGGGTCTCCGTCTCGGTTTCGGTCACTGCCTCTGCCTCTGCCTCTGCCTCTGCCTCTGTGTTTGGGCCAATTGCAAGGCGCATCGATTTCACGCCAATGATCGCCAATCAATAAATACAATAATAATCATCATCAGCGATACACAAAAAAATAGCATATTTTTTTACTGAAACCCAAAGAAAAACACAAAAAAAAAAAAAGGAAAAGGGAAACCCAAAACCGAATCAAATCGAAATGAAGCGAAAATTGTAGCAAGGGGCAAGGGGCCACCCAGGCAATCAGGAAAAATTACCGAAAACAACATCATGTCATATGTGTGTCACCCCTCCCCTCCCCTCCCCTCCCCCCGTCCCGGCCCGGCTAAAGCAGAGGACGAACAATCAATTGATAAAAAGATACATTTATATATATATATATATCTTCATGCGAGTATGGGGAAGGAAAAGTCAGTTAGGAAAAGCCAGAGAGAGAGAGAGGGAGGTGGAGTGCGGATGTGCGGTCACGGACAATGGGAGTGGAAAAAAGTTCCCTGAGAGATGATCAAATGCTTAGGGCGCATTAGGTTTTTTTGGGAACAGGGAACCAGGGGCCAAACCGCAAATTGCTTCAAACTGGACATAAAAAATGGACAAGGGATGCGGCAGGAGGCAGGAGGCAGGAGGCTAGAGGGTGGTGGCAAGTGGCAAGCGCGACAGGGAGTCAATAATTCATATATATATTTCCTAATTGATTGGCAGACACAGCCAGGAGGAGTAGCGGGAGGACATGCGGTAATTGCGAGTGCGATATCGATATCCCTGCGACATAGATTAAAGATCATTATAATCATAGCCATAGTTTATGACATACAAAATAAAATATATATATATATATATGGTATATCTATTATAGAATCAATAAAAAAAATGTGACTCTTATTCTTTATAACTCACGGGAAAACTTGTATGAGATTTCGATTTGAAGTTTTTTTTTTGTGCCCGTCCAAAGAAAAACAGGACGATTGCCCCTGGGGCATCCCTCTGTTTGGGTTGGGTTGGGCTGTGGGTCTCCCAGAAGTTTGTCCGGTCAATCAAGTTCCATCGATGAAAAGGAATCGGGAAGCACACAAAAGTTTGCAGCACCGCCCCAGGATATACGAGAGTTTCTGTTGTTGCTGGTGTTGCTAATTTCTGGGGCAGATAAGCCATGACAACAGCCGCAGTGGCAGTGGCAGTGGATGTGGCAGTGGCAGTGGCAGTGCCAACAATCAGTTCATTGCGCCTCGAATTAATTGCAGGAGAAGCAATTTTAGTTGAGCCACTGGAATTTATGGGCATACTCGTCGTACAAAAGAAACTATGTACAATCAATCCCACCACCAAAAAGCACCACTGCCACTGCCGCTGCCCCCTCCGCTCCTGCTTCTGCCACACATGTGTATGCAAATAATGCGGCCTGAAATCAGCTGAAGTTCCCTTCCGTTCAGCATTTTTATTGTTGTTTCTGGCATTTAGGCAGAAGGCGTGCGGCACACAGCTCAGAGGCAAATAAATTAAAGTGCACATACTCGTATGTAGATGCCACTCCCCCACCCCCAATGGCACTCCCACTCCTCCCGGTATCTGCTTATCTGCCGCAGAGAGTCTGCCTGCCCCCTGCCCCCTGTCCCCTGTCCCCTGACCATATTTAAATATAGAGAGAAATATCAGGAGAAGGGGAGTTGCCATGGATTGCGATTTTTGCAATTTGTGATGCGATACAATTAATTAAGGGACAGCTACATATCGATATCGCCATCAGTTATCAGGCGATAAATTAGCCTCGAAAAGGACTCTCAAGTGAACGTAAATGGTGGAAAATGTCTTTGTTCGTTTGATACTCCAAGAGTTGCCCGATCTTTCGATAGGTTCGTTATTGGATAAAAGGCCCAGAATTGTTGGGTTTTTGATATTTTATTGATATCCAAAGTCTGGCTGTGCTCCCCAGTCCCCCCGTTCCGCTACAAATTATGCAACGCCAATCGCCAGCCAATTGGTGGCGTGCCCCATAAAAGTGACAGTATTAAGAGGCAAGTCGCAGATGAAGAAGAAGCAAAGGAAGGGAACTAAATTAGAGATACTCCCACTCCTAATCCTGCCAGGATACAGTAAATTCAATTCAATTCCACATGCCACATTCCTGGGCGCGGAATGGCTTCCTTCTGGGGCTGGCTGCCTGGCTGGCTTCCCTTCGCTTCCCATCTTTTTTTCTTCGTTCTGGAATTAAGCCAGAATTGATGGCCACCATTGGATGGCCATAAAACGGGTCGCCAATTGGCGGGTGTACGGGGGGAAGGGGGGAATATTTATGAACTTAAATGCTACAAGAGGCCATTAAACCGAACCGATTCTCACATCCACACGTGTCCTGCTCCTCTCCCTACTTGCAGATTCTGACTCCACAGAGAACGATGCGGTTGCCGCACAGGACATCCTCACGTGCGGCGCCTGCCAGAAGGCATTCGCCCTCTCGGACATTGTCAAGTTCATCCAGCACAAGGTGCTGCAGTGCAACAAGGAGAACTATGGCCAGTGCTCCACGCAGGGTCCCCAGATGGACCGCGACGCGGAGGAGGGCCGCCCCCTGAGCCTCGTCAATCGCCGGCCCTCGATCTCGGCCATACCCATCACAGGCCGCAAGTCCGCCCCATCCGTTGTGGTCACCAGTGCTGGTGGCGCCTCTGCCACAGCAGCGGCCGTTGCAGTCGCCGCAGCAGCAGCAGCAGCGGCAGCGGCGGCGGCGGCGGCGGCGGCCAGCAGCACGGCCAGCGGCTCTCGCATACACACCCCGCCACCAAGTCCTGCGGATCTGCTGGCCGATGGCGCCAGCAGCACGCCCAAGCGTCTCGTTGACGGTGAGTCATCGGTGGAGAGTCCTTCTGGATCGCTTCGAGTACTCAAGCCCCTCCTTCTTTTTTCGTTTCTCTTTCGTGCAGAGAACGACAACACAACGCCCAAGGACAGCGAGGCGGCAGCCACCACCTTGGACTCGAATGCCGTGGCATCCGTGCGCGGCAGTCCGGCGACCATTGAGCGCCAGGCGGCCGGCGAAAGCAGCTGCGATCTGCTCGACGAGGAGCAGCATCCACACACCCCCAAGGTCAAGCAGGAGCCCTATGCCGGCGACGAGGAGATGCCCCATCTCGCTGAGTCGCACCAGGATCAGGAGCAGGAGCAGGAGCAGCAGCAGGAGCAGTCCGTGGCCGATTGCCAGCCCCTGGCCAAGCGGCCCAAAATGGAGCTGGTCGATGCCGAGGCCAACACAGTCCACACAGGTGAGTGCCCCATGCCACACAGTCTCTTCCCCACCCATTCCACCCCATTCTTGTCGCATATTTGGGTGGCAAAATTAAAATTCACAAAGTGCCACCCAGCCCAGTGTCCTCTTTGGGCGAGAGTTTTGACCAGGGGCACAAGCAGCGAGCAGCGAGTAGAGATGCGGAACAATTTTTGTGCCGGGCAAAAAATGTGTTTGATGTGTGGTGGCCACACACAAAGGGAGGCACGGCCCAGCGGCAGCAGTGGATAAGTCGCAATGCTGATCGGGCCGCGGGCCCTCAGCGATAAGCTGCAGCTGCAGTACGTCCGAGGAAAAAAAGCAGTGCGGATGCGGACACTGGCTGGACGGACATCAAAGCGCAGCAGCAACACTCTGATAGCCACGGAGAGTGCAGCAGCAGCAGCAGCAGCAGCAGCAGGAGAGAGGCAGGGACACTCGGACACGGGGACAATCGAATCCTCCATTCCCAATCCCAGTCCCAGTCCCAGTCCCAGTCCCATACCCAACCCCCGCTTTTGCCATCTTCCATTCGCAGTTGAACTTCCATTCCATACCAGACCATTCCATTCCCTTGCCCTTTGACTTTGACATTTCAATGCAAATGATGATGAAAAGCCAAAGACAGCAATAAAAATGCGACAGAAAAAAGCAGCAGCAGCAGCAGCAGCAGCATTGGAGAGTGAGCGGGGGGGGGACAGAGCAGAGGGTTAAGGACGGACGGAACAAAGCCTCTCTGCGTTCCGAGGATGGGCCTCGAGGGTAATTTGAATGCCGCCTCAGAAGCACATCCTGACAGCAGCCAAAGGAGGCGAAGGAATGTGCCACGGGGCAGGGGGAAGCCACTTGACTGGACAAAGGACATGGCACTGCGGAGAGGAGCGGGCACAAGCTGGCACTGGACTTGACATACGCACAAAAGAGTAGAGGAATCGGTGAATCAGAGAATCAGCGAAGGCAAGGGGTCAGCTTTTTCAGCTGGACACGTGCCATGATCTCTCTCTGTGTGTGTGTTTCGTAGGTCAAAGGTCAGAGCATAGATCACAGGTAAACGGTCACGCGGCAGTGGTCATCGGTCAAAGGCGAAAGAAGGCTCGCCTCCCTCAGCTTCACATAGGAGAAGCGCGCAGATACACAGATACAGATACGCAGATACACGACGACACATACAGTTTAACCCTTGAACTTTTCTGCGCTTGTGACATGAACACGAACAGAAAAACAGAAAAAACACAACACAAAAGTCAGTGACAATACAACAAAGTTGTTTGACTCCGACAATGCCAAACGACGACAACTGACAGCCTTTCAACGCACATCCACAGATACAGATACAGCCACAGATACACAGATACCGAGATACCGAGATACCGAGATAGAAGCGCGGATGTGGAGAGATACGACTGGGGATCCCCGCGTTAATTACGCATTGTTTTCCCCACTACGTTCTCTCTCTCTCTCTCTCTCTCCCTGTGTCTGTCTGCCTGTCTATCTGTCTTTTATTTTTGTTTGTCGCTCTTTTCTTTCTCTTCGCTGTGTTGCCTGTCCAACCCAACTCCTTTGCCTCCTGCCCCCCAACTGAGTGGCGTGTAGTGTAGTGGCAGGGCCATCCATTCATTGTTGGCCATTTGGTAATTATAAACGTGAAGAGAAAGAGAGAGGCCAAGGGGCATGCCATGGCAACCAACCATCCATCCAACCATCCATCCATCCATCCATCTGTCCGTCTGATCTGATCCATGGACGAAAGAAGAAAAAACCAAAAAAACAAAAAAACTCAAACTCGAATGAATAAAACGAACAAACTGTCAACAAAATGGATATTCGTTGCAAATGTTGCAACATGTCTTGTTTTCTTTTTGCCACCGCTCCATGGCGCTCCGCGGTTCACGGTCCACGGTCCACGCTGTTCACCTGTCAGCGAATCACAGAGCGATTGTGCGAGTGCGAGTGCGAGTGTGAGTGGCACAGTGAGTGGCAGTATGAGTGTTAATTATCAATTTGGTGGCACACAGCATGTCGCGACCGCAATGACAATGAAACACCATCAGCACTCCTCCCCCTCAGCATCAGCCTCAGCCTCAGGAGGAGGTTGAGTGAAGGTCGCCGAAGGGTTAAGGGTCAGATAGATATAGCATGCGGCTTAAACCACACAGAGCATCGAGCATCGAGCATCGAGCATCAGCATCAGGCCATTCAATTATTGACTCATGCTGGCACTAAGCCAGTGTCCTTAAAAAACGACTGACCCCAGGACACACGGGACACACGCGAGACCCGGGATATGGGATATGGGATATGGGATATGGGATACACGGGGGCATCCCCCGACACCACTCTCATAGTATCGTGGTAGTACCTTTCCATTCCATTCTTCGCCTTGCCTTTCCTTTCCGAATCAATGGCTAATGCGCACAGCTCATGCAATTTCACGTCCTGGCTGGATGGCTGGCTGCTTCCCTTGGCCGCAAAGGATTAGAGCTGCCGGCTCCTTTTGTGTGTGTGGCAGAGAGAAAAAAGCGGAAAAGGATACAGCCAAGGGCTTAAGCAAAAGGTCGACTCGCCCAGCAAGGGCCATGCAAATGCGTTCGAGGACGCCATGGCCCCCGGGATGCTGACAGTTGGCAAAGCTGCAACAATTATCCCATTACAGGGAACCCTTTTTTCTTGTGCTGTTTGCTGTTTTTTGGCCACCCCCCGCTGCTCCTCCGCATCTCTCATACGCAACGTGGAGCGGGTGCAGCAAGCAGGCGGGCGGGCGGTCAATTTGCCATTTCCTGTGGCAACTTGATGGCTTTGTTTGCCACCAGCTTCCGCCTTACGGGCGTCCCGTCTTACGGTCACTTGAGCTGAGTCGCCTCCACACTCCGCCCGCAAGCAGCAAAGCAGGAGGAGGAGACACTGGAGCGGGGAGCGGGAGATGAGCAGCTGACAGAATCAGAACGTGGCACTCATACTCTCCGAACAAAGGACATCACCTTCCAGGGCGCATCCTTTTGGCGCGTGCTTTGCGCGGGTCTACGGCAAAGCAAAAAAGAAAAAAAAAAGGGATCGCATCGAGGATCGAGGATCGGGGATCGGGGATCAAATGCCCGATGTTTTTCGACAACTTTTACCTCTTTTTTTATGCCGATAATGATAATGATGATGGTTATAGACGCTCGGAAGCGAACGTGTGCTGCTGATCATGCGCAACCCTTGACAAAAGGGATGAAAACCGGGCGATGAATTGTCTGTCAGATTCATTTGCATTTCCTGCTACGCTACGTGCGGCATGCGGTACGAGGCTTGCGGCATGCGGGGCCAGGCGATCCGATCCCCTCTGATCCCCGTGATCCCTGATCCCCTACAGAGGGACAAAAAAGGGTCGCGGCAAAATCATGTTCAACATGCCTCACCTTTGACAGAGGAAGCTGCCTCCACCTCCTCCTCCTCGTCCTCTTCGTCCTCTTCGTCCTGCCGCGCGTAACGTCATAAAAATACAGGAGTAAAAAAAAGGAAAAGTGTGGAGAATGCGTGTCCTGCTTAACCCCGCGGCAGTGTCTCGTGCGCGACAGGCGTTTGCCTACTCATCCCCCTCCCCCTGCTCCTGCATTTGCTCCTCTTCCTCTTCGTCTTCCTTTCAATTTTTATTTTGTTATATTTTTTTGGGAAAATTCTCATTTTTGAAAGGGACGCAGGACGACGGGACGGGAGGCAAACCGTTTTAAAGCGTCATTTAAATGCAGAGAGCGTCGTCGCGCTGCGCCACCATATCCGTCGGGGGTAGTTGTTGGTCCTCCCTTCCCCATTCCCCATTCGCCATTCGCCATTCCCCCGTCCCCCGTCCCCCGCCCCGGTAATAGTTGGGCATTAACACCTTGTCCACCGCCAGTGTGTCCTCTCCTCGGTGTGATGTCCTGGCGACATGTGGTTTCCGCCTTCGATTAGGAAGTGCCTTTCGTTTTTTATATTTTTCGGTTTTCCATTTTTATTTATTAGAAATTTTCACATTTTTCATAAATTTTCATTTTCCCCGCTGGCGCATCTGTTGCGTGTGTCCTGGCAGGACATGCCACATCCCACATGCCGCACATGCTGGGGTGGTGGGTGAGCGTTTTCCGATTTCCGATTTCCCGTTTTGCGGTGGTGCCTCGTGCCCCGTGCCCCATGTTCCATGGCAAATTAACAAATGTCGCGACACAACCGCAGCGAAAACTACACGCAGGACATACAGGACGTGCCCCATGTGTGTATGTGTGTGTGTGTGTGTGTGTGCGGCAATATCCTAGGCAATATTGGCAATCTCCGTTGCCGCTGCCGCTGCCTGGGCAACACATTTGGCACATGCCACACGCAATAAACGTGCCCCTGGCCCCTTGCCCCTCGCCCCTCGCCCCTACCACCCTCACACACCCTATTTATAATTAATATTTGAAATATTTGTGGTCTAGACTCTGCCACTAATCACAGGACCCTCCTCTCTCTCTCTTTATGTCGTTGCAGAGCCCAGCAATTACACATGCTCCACTTGCAAGACCCGCTACACATCCGCGTGGCGCCTCATCCAGCACGTCCAGCACTCGCACGGCGTCAAGATCTATGTAGAGGCCACTGGAGGCGCTACCCTCACCGTGGCCACGCCCGCTGCCCTCAATAACAGCGCCTTGGCCGCCGCTGCAGCCGCTGCAGCAGCCGCTGCCGCCGTTGCGGTTGGCGCTAGTCCGCAGCCCGCTGAGGCGGCGATAAAGCGCAGCAGCCCCGCTGGAGCGGGAGTCGCCTCCGTCTCCCTGTCCACCTCCGTCAGTTCCACATCCTCCGCGTCGCTGGCCAACACGAGCATCGGCAGCGGCATCGGCAGCGGCAGCAACAGCAGTCACGCCAGCGGCAGTGCCGGCGTGAGCATCAGCGCCTCGTCCCCCCAACAACAACAACAGCAGCAGTTGCAGTTGCATCAACAGCAGCAGCAGCAGCAACAGCAGCAGCAACAGCAGCAACAGGCGGCGCAACAGCAGCAACAGCGCGTGCAGCAGCAGCAGCGCGAGAACCTCGCTTCGGCAATGGCCGCCGGAATGCGGCATCATCCGCTGCTGGCGCCGCCAGAGGCGATGCATGCCAATCCCTTCCAGCTGCTGCGCATGCCCCTGCCGCCGGCGCTGGCCCAGGGAAATGTAGTTCCTAGCGTGGCGCCACTGTTCGGCCACGGCCGCCCCTCGCCCGCCGACCACTACCGCATGGAGCAGCTGGTGAGCGAACAGTTCCGGCATCACGGCTTCAATCTGGCAGCAGCCGCCGCCGCCGCCCAGGCGCAGTTCAATGCCAACGGGCAGGTGGGAGGACAGCAGTTGAATGTGTCCGCCAATGTTCCTACCGTCGCCAGTGGCGAGCCGCGTCCGCCCTCGAGCTCCAGCAGCGGCAGCCAGCGCGGCTCCGTGCCGCCCGCCGCCCTGCCACCACCGTCGCTCAGCTCCCAGCAGCAGCAGCAGCAACAGCAGCAGCAACAGCAACAACAGCAGCAACAGCAGCAGCAGCAGGTGGGAGGCGCCTCCACGCCTGGTCTGGTGGGAGGAGGCAGTGGCTCCCTGAAGCTGGAACCGCAGCAGATGGATTTTTACTCGCAGCGATTGCGTCAGCTTGCGGGCACAACAAGCCCTGGAGCTGGCAGCATTGTTAACTCGAGCTCGCCGAGTCCTCGACAGAAGCAATCGCCGCATTTCGCGAGCCCCTCGCCCTCCCAGATCCCCCAGCACCACCACCACCAGCGGCCCCACTCACTGACTCCCCCAGAGAAGAGCGGAGATGCGGGCTCCGAGAACGGCAGCCTCTGCCTGGCCCTCGCCAGCACCCCGCGGTCGGCCAGCACGCCACCATCGAAGGGCAGCAGCTCCGGAGTCGGAACCGGAGCCGGAGGATTGGGCGGCCTGAGTCTGGGCCTTAATCTCGGCCAGGGAGGAGGAGTAGGAGGTGCGGAGCAGGCCAGCTGCTTTGCGTGCAGCTACTGCGACAAGAAGTTCCGCTTCGAGAACAACCTGATCATCCACCAGCGGACGCACACTGGCGAGAAGCCGTACAAGTGCACTGCCTGCGACTTCGAGTGCTCGCACATCCAGAAGCTGATGAAGCACATGCGGGTGCACCGCAGTCCGGGCGATGACCAGGACGGACAGGATGGTCCCGACGATGGCAGCAATGCCGATTCGCTGGAGACGAACGAGGCGGACAACGACGAAGATCCCAATCCGGATGAGTCCGAGGAGGAGATGGGCGATGCCGATGGGGACAATGATCCCGATGGCGATGTCGATCCCGATGCCGATGGCGAGGGCGACGATGAGGACGAGGACGAGCTGGATGACTGTGAGGACATGGACTACAAGGCCGAGGATCTCAGCGTGAGCAACCGCATCGACGGCAAGAGCCAGAGCCCCAAGACGACCAGCTCCGGGGCCACCTCCCTGGTCGGGGAGCTGATGGACAAGTTCGGACTCTCGAACATCGCCCAATACAGCGAGGCCTACAAGCAGGCGCTGCAGGAGTCCGGCCGGAAGGAGGCCGCCTCCGTGGCCGCTGCCGCCGCTGCAGCCGCCGCAGCTGCCGCTGTGGACAACAACAACCGTGGTGGTGGCTCCGGGCCTGGCTCCGCCTCGGGAGCGGGAGGAGTGGGTGGCGCTGACAAGATGAACGGCCTGCCTGTGGCCGCGCTCCGGCTGCGGGACGAGTTCGCCAAGAACTGCAACATGTTCCAGCAGCCGCAGGATGGGCCCGGCCAGGTGCCGCTCTTCAATCCCTTCCCCAATCCCTTCGAGCTGAGCAAGCGCATGAAGATGGACGGCGGCGACTGGTGGGGCATGTCCGCCCTGCACCGCAACGAGGCGCTCTTCGAGAACCTCAAGCTGAAGCCCCTGGGCCTGGGCGGCGCGAACGCCCTCATCCAGGGTCCGCTGCTGAAGAAGGAGAGCCGCCAGCGCAACGACACGTGCGAGTTCTGCGGCAAGGTGTTCAAGAACTGCTCCAACCTGACGGTGCACCGCCGCAGCCACACGGGCGAGAAGCCGTACAAGTGTGAGCTCTGCTCCTACGCCTGCGCCCAGAGCTCGAAGCTCACCCGCCACATGAAGACGCACGGACGCACCGGCAAGGACGTCTACCGCTGCCGCTTCTGCGACATGCCCTTCAGCGTCCCCTCCACCCTCGAGAAGCACATGCGGAAGTGTGTCGTGAACCAGGGCAAGGCGGCAGCCGCCGCCAATGCCGTGGCCGCTGCCCAGGCCGCCCAAGCTGCCGCCCAGCAGCTCCAGGCAGCCGCCCAGCATGCCCAGGCCGCCCAACAGCAGCAGCAGCACCAGCAGTCGCAGCAACAGCAGTCGCAGCAGCAGATGCCCGTGCAGTCGCAGCTGTCGCCCTCATGCCCCATGGGCGTGGTCGGGTATCCGCCACAGTTCGGAGTCTCCGTTGGGGGCCACAACCTCTCGCTGCCGGGCAGCGTGAGCGGGGACAACGACTCGAATGCGTCCTCCAGCCTCACCGCTCACCCCATTTCGCTGAAGGAGGAGGCATGACTTTTTAGCAGCTGGAGCAGCGCGCCACACCCGCACCAACACCAACACCAACACCCGCATTTGCCACAACTGCCACACCATGCTGCGGCACATCTACATCCGCATCCGCATCCGCATTCGCATCAGCATCCCCATCCAGCGCTCTCGCATCCCCATCCGCACTCGCACCTGCAGCTGCAGGGGCCGCTGGTAACGGCACCGCCGCCAACGCTCCACCAATTGGCCAGCAGCAGCAGTCGCAGTCGCATCATGTCGCGCATCTTCTAAAGATGTCCACAGCACAGCCCCTTGTACATAGAACAGCTTCCCCCTCCCTTCTCCTAAGTTGACATCAAGTTACGGTTATGTACCGCCAGCAGCAGCAGCAGCAGCAGCAGCAGCCCCCACGGATACCCTGCAACTTTTACAAAAAGATTGCTCCCATGCAACCGCTCCATGCACCCCCGAGACCGACACCGCCAGCTGCACTCAGCCAAGCTCCTTGAAGGCGACTAAAAAAAAATACACGACCAGAGGCATTTAATACCAAAGCAATAACCGTTATGTAATATAATTTTAAAGATTCCAATTTTTTTTCCAACCCCTAAAACAAATCGAAACGAAACGAAACGAAAGTGAAACCATTTATATATATATACATATTTTTTTTTATCACCCAATTTTTTTGTGCTTGTAATTTAAAAATAGATCCTTAGATTATTGTATATTTATATGTATCGATGACGATGGGTAATCGAAACTTATCGATCGAGAGAAAGAGAGTAATCGCCTAGCCAGTAATCGTGTGGACACACATTTTCCAGTGTATTTTTAGGCCTAAGCTAAGGGATTTGTATATGAAAAATGGGGAAGAAAAAAGAATGAAAAACCAAAAACGAATCAAAAACTCTACAAAAAAAAAAAACACAACTACAACTACATTTAAAAACAGAAAAACTGAAAACTAAAGAGGGGGACAAAAGCGATAAAAGAAAAACCAACCACGACAAAAATTCAAGCTCCCAGCGAGCCACAAAAATAAGCAAAAATTATACTCTAAAACTTAACTAAATATGAATATTATATATAATATATAACTATATATAGGAGATCGCGTATGCGATATGCGGTATGTGTGTGTGAGTGTATGAAAAAATTAAGGATATTTTTCCATCGATGTACATTTTTTGTAGTAAATCTAGAGCCCTAGAGTCCCGAAAGGGGCGAGCACTTGTAAAAACTCTTAGACCCCCTCCCCCGCCCCTTCCACACTTCTGACACTCGATTATCGTTTATTCGTTTTATTCGATTTTCGTTGGCCAGAAGTACCCCCTGCCCCATCGTCCCACTAGTTTACTTAATTTTCGATTATTCTTTTTTTGCGCCTAGAAATAAATTCTATTATTAAATGTAATTTAAAGAAAACAAAAAACGAAAAATAATCAAATTTTTTTACATACATAAATAAATATAAATGTAAAACACAAATTTTTTTTAAACAATTTTAGCATAAGAAAATCATAAAGAAAAGAAAAGAAAATTAAGAAGAAAACCCCATCTGAAATTGAGGCGAAATGCAAATTAGAAATGTGAATGATTGGAAGGCGACCGCAAATTTGTACGTAAAACTTCAAGTGAAAGCAAAAAACAAAAATACACACAAAAAAAAAAAATGGAGAGGAAAGCAATTAACGAGAAAATACCGAAGCAACAACAAACAAACAACAACTAGATTTTAGAAGACTGAAGAACTGAGGAACGAGACGAGAGATGAGATGCGTTTTCTTGCTGTTAAAGACAAGGTCAACCGGAACCGGAAAAAGACGGACAGAAGAGAGACGGAGACAAAGACGGAAACGGAGACACACACACACACACTCAGAGAATACGGACGGACAGTAGAGGACGAGAGAGAGATTTTTTTATGAATTGTTTTTTTGCTGTTGATTTTCGTTATTTGATTGAACCAAAAACAAAAGAAAAAAGATTGAGATCCAAATTTTGATTAATATTTAATTGATTGTTTTTTAGTAGAAAGAAATGTTTGTGAGCAAAATTCAAAGGCAAGAACAAATGACATTAGTTTAAACCTTGTTTGTCCTTTCCCTTTCCCTTCCCCCCTCCCTGCCCCAGTTAACTCCATAAAAAAAGGAAATCCCCCTGCTATTGCAGTGGCAATAGTAGGAGTCCCTCCCTGAAGGACCCTGAAGGCCAGGCCCTGCAATAGCTCGGGGATTTGTTGCATTGCTATTTCTAATTCTCAGCGAAGTTTATCGTGCACAATTTATGGAATTTGATGACTAAATGATGATGAGCTAAATTTAAGGAACCAGGTTTAATGCATTGTGTTTCAGAGAGAACCGAAAAGAGTATACCCCGATATACGAGTACACCTATAGATATATGTATATATAAAACGTATATGAAGCGAAAACTGAATAAAAACAAAAACCCATGAAAAACTATTAAAAACCATACAAATTATGTTTTATTTGAACCACCCTCGAACCCCTTTCTACACCCCTTCCCGAACAGGAAGCGAATGGATCCTTTTTATAATTTCTACTTTGGTTTGATTTCCACACACAGAAAAACGAAACGAAAACAAGCAGAGAAAACAGAGAGACGCGATGAAGATGAAACGGAAACCGATACCGAAACGAAACGAAATGAACCGAAACGAAACGAAACATAGCCAGCAAGCAAACAAAAAAACTATCATTAAATCTTAGAGAATTAATTGTAGCTATAAAAACCAAACAAACAAAGCGCAAAAACCAAAAACAAAAACACTTTATACTAAATAAACGAAAAAACCACGTAAGCGACAAAAAACAGAAAAAGCGAAAAAACGAAAAGAAAAAAATATAAAGAAAAACCCGAGCAACAGCACGGGATTATTGTTGTTGTCAGTTTGGCCGAACAATAGCAGTACGAATGCCGAGGAGTTAAATTTATAAACAAAAACAAATCCGACAAAAAATGAAAAAAAAAATATTTTTCAAATGTGTGTAATTTTTTGAACGTAACAATAATGGATACGAAAAGGAAAAAACAAACAAATTTAAGAATTAATTAATAAAAAATAGTTGTCTGTGTTACAAAAATACGAAAAAAAACAAAAAATACAATTGCAAAAACTGTATGCGAGACGGTGTGCTGTTATTTTTCTTTGGTACGGACTTTTTTCCAGGAGCCATAAACTTTATGGTAGAAAAGCGCCCCTAAAAGTAGGCAGCGCAGCCAAGCGGTGATCGTTAACGATCGAGCGAAAACTGTTGCATACCCCGGGGAGCGGTCGGTAACCACCAGGTGTCGCTATCGTTCGCTCTCCTAGCACACGCACACACATAATGGTACGCCGAAAACAGCCCCTCACGCGAAAGACAAAAATAGCGAGAGACAAAGAGAAAGTTGAGGTTGAGTGACCCAATCTGAACGCCATTGGCCACCGTCTGTCCCCCACTGACCCACGCCGGCCACTCGACCAGCCGCTGACCAATCCCCACGCCGCCCCCATAATGCTCATGTGTGCGGAAACTTCAATTGGCATCCATCGCACGACTGCGAGCAGAGCCGAAACGAACCTCACACATGCGACGCCGGCAGCTCAGCCCGCGACAGCAGCAGACAGAGCAGAGGCCAAGCCACAGCACCGCCACCCACCCACAAGCCCAGTGGGCAGTGCGAGCTCGCTCGAACACACACACTCAACATTGGTTCGCTGTCGAACATGTTCGGCTGCCTCGGCTGGTGGTTGCGAACGGACATCGAGCCAAGCAGCGAACTTCTCACATGAGGAATAGGTGGTGGGTGGAGGGAGGTGACCAAAACTGATGTGGGAGAGTCCTCAATGGTTATGTGTGTGGGGGGTCTGCAAATAATAGTTTCCATGCACGGTGCACTGGCACGGAGCAAAGGTATACTGTACTCGGGCAAGCGTATGTGACAGGCATACGTAAACCATCGTAAATCTGCAGAACAAAACGTTTCCCACCTTATTAGAGTATCCACTGGCATGTCCTTTGTCTGTATAAACACCTTGACTTCGGGTGATATAAAAACATATACACATAGTATATGCTTTGCTGTCGCTGCACACTTCAACATAAGAAGAATCGCTTAAGAAAATCAAATCGAAATTCTGAGAAATTCCCTTTGGCGATATTGGCATACCTTTCCAAAAGTATGCTTTTTGATGCACAAGAAATTCTTACGAGTAGCGGCTCTCTTGCTGTAATACTGACTGGTAGCTGACAGTCAGTTTCTTTTTTTTCAGACTTACAAACTAGATAAACCAAAAGTACTCTGCCGAAAGCGATTGCAGCCAGTGGCGTATTTAACAGGGATTACCCATTGGCCTGTCTGTTGGAAAGATGAAAAAATATTCTGCTTATTGAAATACGAAAATACCTCTGGTATCCACAGTTTTCTGGAAAAATATATTGTCTCGATCCATTAAAAGTCAGAATAAGGAACACAAGTACATTTCAAAGGATGATATTTGATTATATTATTTTATTTCCCCCCTATGCGAAATACTAGCTCTTCAGAAAAGCAACAGCCGATTTTGCGTTTTAGGCAGATTTTACTGGGCAATCAAGAATTGTAATGCTTAATTTTGCTGAGATGGTAAAAATTTTCAAGGAGAATCTGATACATCACAATTTGATAAGCTGATTCTTTCAGCGGGCTGTTAAACTTAAAAGTCTACTGTTCTCCTGTGAAATACTGTGGATGTTGCTGTATAATATATGAATATTTTAAAATTTTACGTTCCATGATATTATGTTCCCTATATCTACAGTACTTTGTTACCAGCATTTTACCAAAAGGCACAACATATTCTCAATCAAATTCTATTCTTTAATATTTGTCATTGATTCCCATTGAAGGTTTAGTAGAAGACCAAAATCTCTAAAGTATTAGACTTTTATTATGACATAGAAATACATATATTAGATTTAAGCGTCCATTGAGTAATATTAATGATATTATATAAATATATAATAATTATAAATGGAAGTCAAGGTTTTGTACTTTCTTGTGAGAAATGCTTGTCCTAAACTGGTAACAGTTTTTCCACTCGCAAAATTAGAGCATTTTTTTATGGGACTTCTACCTCGGCGCAGTGTTGAGCAGACTATTGGCCTGAGGAACAGTGTTGTGTAGCGACTGTAGGTGGGCAATTAATAACAGTTCCTTTACCAAATGCGGACCCGGACCCCACTTGGTGCGCATTTTTCATTCTCCGTTTGCATGGGCCCGGCGTCCTGCGTCCTGCGTCCTGCCTCCTCAGACCTCAAACCTCATCCCCAAACAAGGACTGCGATTCGGTCTGTGGCTTGGTCCTGGCTGCTGGAGGTTCGTGGTTCGAGGGGGCTGTGAGGAGGCTGGTGGGTTGATGGCTGGTCGGAGGATGTGTGTAGGCGATGGGCGACATTTGTTCCTGCAACGACTAATTCAAGTACGTGTGTGTAAGTGTTTTTGTGTGTGTGTGATATATAACGGGTAACGCACACATGCGTCCCTCTCTGCATGTGTGTGCGTGTGTGTGTGTGTGTGTGTCCGCATGGCGTAAGGGTGAAACTTTTACTGTTAGCTCGCAGAGATTCTTTTCTGATGATAAATTAATTTATTATGTTCGAATTGAAGCACTCCTGCAGCCAGCCACCAATGTGAATGCGAGCGAGCGGATGTAGCCAGCCATGTACGTATACGAGTGCGAGGATATCTTCTGCCCAGGACCGGAGTCTGAGAGTCTGGGTATCCGGACCCACAGAACGCACGGAACGCACAGGACGTAGAGAGCTCTTTCTCGCTTTCTCTTTCTCTCCACGGCTATATACGGGTATATGTATGTATGTATGTGTGTGCTTCCTTGCTCGTTTCA